CGTCCCTGGGATTCGAGTAGACTGTATTAGGATAAATATTAGGCTGAAATACAAAATCTACATATTAAATGTAATATCAATGTGTGCCTAGTATATATATATATATTTTTACAGTACTACATCTCATTTGTTATCAATTTAATGCCAAAAAGGGGACAGTGAACGCCAGCGTCCTTTATCTCATAACTCTATTTTTTATTGGTATTTTATTTAACCAGGTAAGTCATTGAGACCACATTCTCTTTTACAATAACGACCTGACCAAGATGGAACAGTGAAATAACTATCAATTACATTGCAGCTGTCTGTTTAGCAATCCAGTTATTAGTAAAAAGAAGGAAAATAAACAGCCTATTTGAGAAGAAAATCAGATTATGATTAGAAAACAAAATGGACTGCGCTGACTGTTTTATCACATGACGTGATATATTAAAAGATACAGTATGTTCAGAAAAATAACCTTAACCTCAGATTTTAAAAATAACCACATAGCCTAATGAATAAATGAAAAACAAAAGGAAATCTAAACTAAAACAGATTAATGATTTTGATCTGTATTATTTTAAAATAACCACATAGCCTAATTAATAAATGAAAAATTAAATTAAATCTAAAAACAGATTAATCCAGTTGAATTAAAAATGTCTGTGGGAAGTGTCCACCTCAGGGCCCTGCCCCATCTTTAACACTTTCTCCCGGTATGAAAAGGTCCTACTTAACCTGGAATGCACATATTCTGTTGTCCTGATGTTCTATTAATAAATGTATCCAGAGGTCTGTGACTCCATCATTCCAGGCCAAATGGACCACAGACACACCCATGTCCAAAATGCTACAAGGCTGAAACTGACCCAACATATCCCCCTATCCCCAACATAGCCATGCACAACAACTCTTCCTCCCGGGGAAGGACTGCCCGTTCCATGATCTCGCCATCACGGTTGACAACTCCGTTGTGTCCTCCTCCCAGAGTGCGAAGAGCCTTGGCGTGACCCTGGACAACACCCTGTCGTTCTCCGCTAACATCAAGGCGGTGACCCGATCCTGCAGGTTCATGCTCTACAACATTCGGAGAGTACGACCCTGCCTTACACAGGAAGCGGCACAGGTCCTAATCCAGGCACTTGTCATCTCCCGTCTGGATTACTGCAACTCGCTGTTGGCTGGGATCCCTGCCTGTGCCATTAAACCCCTACAACTCATCCAGAATGCCGCAGCCCGTCTGGTGTTCAACCTTCCCAAGTTCTCTCACGTCACCCCGCTCCTCCGCACACTCCACTGGCTTCCAGTTGAAGCTCACATCTGCTACAAGACCATGGTGCTTGCCTACGGAGCTGTGAGGGGAACGGTACCTCCGTACCTTCAGGCTCTGATCAGTCCCTACACCCAAACGAGGGCACTGCGTTCATCCACCTCTGGCCTGCTGGCTCCCCTACCTCTGGGGAAGCATAGTTCCCGCTCAGCCCAGTCAAAACTGTTCGCTGCTCTGGCACCCCAATGGTGGAACAAGCTCCCTCACGACGCCAGGACAGCGGAGTCACTCACCACCTTCCGGAGACATTTGAAACCCCACCTCTTTAAGGAATACCTGGGATAGGATAAAGTAATCCTTCTACCCCTCCCCCCCCCTTTACTCCACTTCTACCCACCCCCCCCCCCCCCCCCTTTACTAACCCTAACCCTCCACTTATCTGTTATGTGCATGTGCAGACCAGCTGGCTGGAGTGTTTATGGACATATTAAATCGCTCCCTATCCCAGTCCGCTGTCCCCACTTGCTTCAAGATGTCCACTGTTGTTCCTGTACCCAAGAAAGCAAAGGTAACTGAACTCAATGACTATCGTCCCGTAGCACTCACTTCTGTCATCATGAAGTGCTTTGAGAGGCTAGTTAAGGATTATATCACCTCTACCTTACCTGACACCCTAGACCCACTTCAAATTGCATACCGCCCCAACAGATCCACAGACGATGCAATCACCATCGCACTGCACACTGCCCTATCCCATCTGGACAAGCGGAGTACCTATGTAAGAATGCTGTTCATTGACTATAGCTCAGCCTTCAACACCATAGTACCCTCAAAGCTCAACATTAAGCTTGGGGCCCTGGGTCTGAACCCCGCCCTGTGCAACTGGGTCCTGGACTTCCTAACAGGCCGCCCCCAGGTGGTGAAGGTAGGAAACAACACCTCCACGTCACTGATCCTCAACACAGGGGCCCCACAAGGGTGCGTGCTCAGCCCCCTCCTGTACTCCCTGTTCACCCATGACTGTGTGGCAACGCAGGCCTCCAACTCAATCATCAAGTTTGCAGACGACACAACAGTAGTAGGCCTGATTACCAACAATAACGAGACAGCCTATGGGGAGGAGGTGAGGGCCCTGGCGGAGTGGTGCCAGGTAAATTACCTCTCCCTCAACGTCAACAAAACGAAGGAGCTGATCGTGGACTTCAGGAAACAGCAGAGGGAGCACGCTCCTATCCACATCGACGGGACCACAGTGTAGAAAGTGAAAAGCTTCAAGTTCCTCGCCGTACACATTACTGACAATCTGAAATGGTCCACCCACACAGACAGTGTGGTGAAGAAGGCACAACAGCGCCTCTTCAACCTCAGGAGGCTGAAGAAATGTGGCTTGGCCCCTAAGACCCTCACAAACTTTTACAGATGCACAATTGAGAACATCCTGTCGGGCTGTATCACCGCCTGGTACGGCAACTGCACCGCCCGCAACCGAAGGGCTCTCCAGAGGGTGGTGTGGTCTGCCCAACGCATCACCGGGGGCACACTGCCTGCCCTCCAGGACACCTACAGCACCCGATGTCACAGGAAGGCCAAAAAGATAATCAAGGACATCAACCACCCAAGCCACGGCCTGTTCACCCCATTACCATCCAGAAGTCAGTACAGGTGGATCATAGCTGGGACCGAGAGACTGAAAAACATCTTCTATTTCAAGGCCATCAGCCTGTTAAATAGTCATCACTAGCCTGCTACCACCCGGTTACTCAACCCTGCACCTTGGAGGCTGCTGCCCTATATACATAGACATGGAATCACTGGTCACTTTAATAATGGAACACTAGTCACTTTAATAATGTTTACAAACTGCTTTACTCATTTCATATGTATATACTGTATTCTATTTTACTGTATTTTAGTCAATGCCACTCAGACATTGCTCGTCCTAATATTTATATATTTCTTAATTCCATTCGTTTACTTTAGATTTATGTGTATTGTTGTGAATTGTTAGATACTACTGCACTGTTGGAGCTAGGAACACAAGCATTTCGCTACACCTGCAATAACATCTGCTAAATATGTGTAGGTGACCAATAACATTTGATTTGATTTGATGTACCCTGTGCCTACATATGCTTATGATGATCACCATTTTACATAGTAAAAACCTTTTCACTTCACATTAAGCACTTTTAAATTCTGCCATATCTATTGATTTTAATTGATTTATAAGAAACGGTTAAAAGGTATAGACCTACTTGACGCATGCAGTATATCAGGTGTGTCAAACTCTTTCCATGGAGGGCCGGCCTAGTGTCTCCAGGTTTTTCCTTTCAATTAAGCCCCAGACAACCAGATGTGGGACGTTCCTTACTAATTAGTGACCTTAATTCATCAATTAAGTACAAGGGTGGAGTGAAACCCCCCAGACAACAGGCTCTCTGTGGATTGAGTTTGAGACCTGTGCAGTATGTGGTCCAAATAAATGTCACCAGAAAACAGCTTAAACAAATGCAAATGCAGCTACTTTGCTATTATTCTGGCTACACTTTTTGACTGTAAGTTAGCAGTAGTTCGCTAGCTAGCAAGGGATAAGAACGTTGCCACCCAGTGTGGCAATGGAACATTTAGAACAGGGGTACTCAACTCTTACCCTACGAGGTCCGGAGCCAGCTGGTTTTCTGTTCTACCTGATAATTAATTGCACACACCTGGTGTCCCAGGTCTAAATCATCCCTGATTAGATGGGAACAATAGAAAAATGCAGTGGAACTGGCTTCGAGGTCCAGAGTTGAGTTTGCGGGATTTAGAAGGAACGACTGGGTCGCATCCATAGATACAGAACAAAAAGACTGAAGGACTGGGTCGATTCTCTAGCAACCGAACCAATAGAATGAACGACCAGCTGGCTTGGGTAGCAACCCTAGATTTGTGTCGGGACTATGTCTTGTGGAAGGATGAAAAAGTATGTACATTTTTAATGAAAATATGTCAATCATTATTTGAATATGTTGGTAATTGGTTGTATAAAAGTGATAATGCACTCAAACCTGGGCCTAACAACACCCGTGCCAATATATCCTCCAAACACTGGCTTCTCGGGCATTATCACTTAAATAGGCCTATGCTATTTAAAAAAAAATACAAGTTCAAACTGTGTAACAACATACATAAACATAGGCCATTACATTTTCTATAGAAAGTGTGTATAGACCTAAATATTGTCTATTTAGCCATGGATATCTCTTGATTAGTGCATGGAAGAAACATGAGCATATACAGTACTGCCCCACTGGGCCAAAACTGGTTGAATCGACATTGTTTCCACGTCATTTGGATCCCAAAAATCTATGTGCTGACGTTGAATTAACGTGGGGAAACTAAATGGATTTCATCAATGTCATCAATGTAATGGTATTTCGTCTTTTTTTAACCCTACTTTTAACCAAAATCCAATGACATTGTGAGATGTTTTGTTTATTTCACGTTGAATTCATGTTAGTTGACAACTCAACCAAATGTAAATCAAAAGTAGAGGTCGAACTGATGTCTGTGCCATTGGGGCGCATTTTAACCAGTTCTCGTATCAATTAAAATAATTAGATGACAGACTTTATTTTCCGAGTAGACTTTATTGAAAACATATATACAAGTCTAAAATGGTGAGCATCACAAGCATATGTAGGCACAGGGTACTTAAAATAACAATTACGTAGTGGGACGGTAAAACCAAGAGCAACGCTGGTCTGGATTAGATCAGATAGGAGGGCTCAGCACACATGGGCGTCTTCTTGACAGGCCTTCCATCATCATCACCAGTCAGTGGACTGTGGTTCCCACTGTGGGGTAATAATATAATAATAATATGCCATTTAGGGTAGCTGGGGTAACTGTTACCCGCGCAGGGAACAAGGTTAATCTCCACAGGTGGAGAGTACCAGCTCATCCTCTTGGTCCCAACTCCTCACTCCACGTGCAATGGCAGTTGATCCGTTGGCGCGCTGGACACAACCAACAATGCAGCGGGTCTTGAGCACAGACGAGAAGGACCGTCTCTGTTCAAGATGGATTCGATGGAGAAAGGACTGCTGAACTTCACCTCACTTCTCTTCTGAGTATGAGGGCTGTTGAGGGTTGGTGTTGGTGAGTAGACCGCGGCAAAGCGCTCTGATATCCTGTCTGCCTCCATTCGCACTTTGGTGGACAACTCGGGGAACAGGTCCAGTATGCCCCCGAAGTGGCGTCTCGCCATCTTCGCTGTAATTTGACTCTCATCGACTTTCCAGAAGTTCTTCTTTGAGATATGGACTGACTGGAACCTGAAATAGATAAACACGTCAAATTAATTAATGTCTGTTGACCTCAGGTTGGTTGAATGAAAGAGACAATAAATAATGTCTGATTTAGTTGATATAAGTATTGTGGACATACCTTGACAAAACCATCGTTGAATGATAAGCAGACCCTTATGTTGTTCTCGATGCCTTTTCTGTCTTCTGAGAGGAATGCTCCCAACTTGTCCATCAACTGCAAATGATAACACTCCATATTAGCACTCGTCATTAATTAGGCACCAGTATTCCTTTTCAGATCAACATCGAAATTACACCGTGGGTGCTAAAAGATATTGGTTTTACCTGACTAAATGTTAGCATCTTGTCTGGAGAGTCCTGAATGACATATGCAATCAGTCCCAGATAGGTTGTGCTCTTCTTCTTGCCATAACGTTGGTTCTTCCTTCGCTGAACAACGTTGGATGGAGCCTGGAGAGGTAGGAGAGTTCCCATGATGTTCTCTGTCATGTTCTGCATCTTTTTCGTTGTAGAGTTGTTCTCACACCAAGTCACACACAGAGCACTGATATCAGGACCTTGCTCAGTGGAACTGTGGACCTGGAATGATGCAGTTCCAGACCTCTGGATATATGTCCTGCTAGAACAATAGGACAACAGAAGGTGTGCGTTCCACATTAACTAGGCCTATAGAACCTGTTGGGACTCTGCTGTAGGGCAGCTTTATGTAGGCCCTAACAGTTTGTGGGCACCGTTTGTCACCGTTATAGTGCAATTAATGTATTGTTTAGTGTTGTGTTGTGTAGTGGCTTTGCTGGCATGCATTCCCCTTTTTTGTTTTTGTTTGTTTGCCCCACCAAGATTTACATGCCACTGGTCACTTTACCCCTACCTACATGTACAAATTACCTCGACTAACCTGTACCCCGCACATTGACTCGGTACCAGTACCCCCTGTATATAGCCTCGTTATTGTTATTTTATTGTTTTACTTTTTATTCATTTAGTAAAATTGTTGGTTAAGGGCTTGTAAGTAAGCATTTCACGGTAAGGTCTACAGCTGTTGTATTCGGCGCATGTGACAAATAACATTTGATTTGATTTAAATTTAGAATGGGTTAGTTTTTAATCTATAGAAATGGTCCCCAAAAGGAATGCGTAGGCTCGCTGGAAGTTTGAGGGTATCTGCACCAAGGGTTAGTTGACAAAGCCATCTTTTTACTTCACCAGCAGCAGACAGTTCAATTCAGTACACGATTGTTCATGGAGTGGCCGTATTTGGTTGTCGATTTCGCTGAGGCACAAAATCCAGTTAAAGTTTAATACCCGAGAAAAGTAGTCAGGATTACTTACTTATGTTTACCCTTATAGGCGTGTGGAAACAGGGCTAACGTTCCCACTACAATAGCCTATACGGTTTATTTAAAATATATATAAACTCAGCAAAAAAGAAACGTCCTCTCACTGTCAACTGTGTTTATTTTCAGCAAACTTAACATGTGTAAATATTTGTATGAACATAACAAGATTCAACAACTGAGACATAAACTGAACAAGTTCCACAGACATGTGACTAACAGAAATTGAATAATGTGTCCCTGAACAAAGAGGGGGGGGGGGTCAAAATCAAAAGTCAGTATCTGGTGTAGCCACCAGCTGCATTGAGTACTGCAGTGCATCTCCTCCTCATGAACTGCACCAGATTTGCCAGTTCTTGCTGTGAGATGTTACCCCACTCTTCCACCAAGGCACTTGCAAGTTCCCGGACATTTCTGTGGGGAATGGCCCTAGCCTAGACGTGCTCAATGGGATTAAGATCCAGGCTCTTCGCTGGCCATGGCAGAACACTGACATTCCTGTCTTGCAGGAAATCACGCACAGAACGAGCAGTATGGCTGGTGGCATTGTCATGCTGGAGGGTCATGTCAGGATGAGCCTGCAGGAAGGGTACCACATGAGGGAGGAGAATGTCTTCCCTGTAACGCACAGCATTGAGATTGCCTGCAATGACAACAAGCTCAGTCCGATGATGCTGTGACACACCGCCCCAGACCATGACGGACCCTCCACCTCCAAATCGATCCCGCTCCAGAGTAAAGGCCTCGATGTAACGCTCATTCCTTCGACGATAAACGCGAATCCGTCAGTGAAGTCAGTGAAGAGCACTTTTTGCCAGTCCTGTCTGGTCCAGCGATGGTGGGTTTGGGCCCATAGGCAACGTTGTTGCCGGTGATGTCTGGTGAGGACCTGCCTTACAACAGGCCTACAAGCCCTCAGTCCAGCCTCTCTCAGCCTATTGCGGACAGTCTGAGCGCTGATGGAGGGATTGTGCGTTCCTGGTGTAACTCGGGCAGTTGTTGTTGCCATCCTGTCCCGCAGGTGTGATGTTCAGATGTACCGATCCTGTGCAGGTGTTGTTACACGTGGTCTGCCACTGCGAGGACGATCAGCTATCCGTCCTGTCTCCCTGTAGCGCTGTCTTAGCACTCTACGGACATTGCAATTTATTGCCCTGGCCACATCTGCAGTCCTCATGCCTCCTTGCAGCATGCCTAAGGCATTTTCACGCAGATGAGCAGGGACCATGGGCATCTTTCTTTTGGTGTTTTTCAGAGTCAGTAGAAAGGCCTCTTTAGTGTCCTAAGTTTTCATAACTGTAACCTTAATTGCCTACCCTCTGTAAGCTGTCTTAACAACCGTTCCACAGGTGCATGTTCATTAATTGTTTATGGCTCATCGAACAAGCATGGGAAAACAGTGTTTAAACCCTTTACAGTGAAGATCTCTGAAGTTATTTGGATTTTTACGAATTATCTTTGAAAGATAGGGTCCTGAAAAAGGGATATTTCTTTTTTTGCTGAGTTTGTGTATATATATATATATATATATATATATATATATACTATCAGTCAAAAGTTTGGACACACCTACTCATTCAAGGGTTTTTCTTTATTTATATACAAAATATTTTTATTTATTTTATTTTTTTTCACCTTTATTTAACCAGGTAAGCCAGTTGAGAACAAGTTCTCATTTACAACTGCGACCTGGCCAAGACAAAGCAAAGCAGTGCGATAAAAACAACAACACAGAGTTACATATGGGGTAAAAAACATAAAGTCAAAAATACAGCCCTAAATAGCCCTATTTGGTAAAAGACCAAGAACAGCTCAAATAAGCAAAGAGAAACGACAGTCCATCATTACTTTAAGACATGAAGGTCAGTCAATACGGAATATTTCAAGAACTTTGAAAGTTTCTTCTAGTGCAGTCGCGAAAACCATCAAGCGCTATGATGAAACTGGCTCTCATGAGGACCGCCGCAGGACTGGAAGACCCAGAGTTACCTCTGCTGCAGAGGATAAGTTCATTAGAGTTACCAGCCTCAGAAATTGCAGCCCAACTAAATGCTTCACAGAGTTCAAGTAACAGATATCTCAACATCAACTGTTCAGAGGAGACTGTGTGAATCAGGACTTCATGGTCGAATTGCTGCAAAGAAACCACTACTAAAGGACACCAATAAGAAGAAGAGACCTGCTTGGGCCAAGAAACACGAGCAATGGACATTAGACCGGTGGACATTTGTCCTTTGGTCTAGAGTCCAAATGTGAGATTTTTGGTTCAAACCGCTGTGTCTTTGTGAGACGCGGTGTGGGTGAACGGATGATCTCCGCACATGTAGTTCCCACCGTAAAGCATGGAAGCGGAGGTGTTATGGTGTGGGGGTGCTTTGCTGGTAACACTGTCTTTGATTTATTTAGAATTCAAGGCACATTTAACCAGCATGGCTACCACAGCATTCTTCAGCGATACGTCATTCCATCTGGTTTGGGTTTAGTGGGACTATCATTTGTTTTTCAACAGGACAATGACCCAACACACCTCCAGGCTGTGTAAGGGCTATTTTACCAAGACGGAGAGTGATGGAGTGCTGCATCAGATGACCTGGCCTCCACAATCCCCCGACCACAACCCAATTGAGATGGTTTGGGATGAGTCGGACGGCAGAGTGAAGGAAAAGCAGCCAACAAGTGCTCAGCATATGTGGGAACTCCTTCAAGACTGTTGGAAAAGCATTCCAGGTGAAGCTGGTTGAGAGAATGCCAAGAGTGTGCAAAGCTGTCATCAAGGCAAAGGGTGGCTATTTGAAGAAACTCAAATATAAAATAGATTTTGATTTCCATATGTGTTATTTCATAGTTTTGATGTCTTCACTATTATTCTACAATGTAAATTTTTTTTTAAAATAAAGAAAACCCCTTGAATAAGCAGACTACAGTTATGTTTTGTTGTTAGGATTCTGCCCTGTTTTGTTCATTTGCCAAACCTTTATTTTTTTATTGGCAACTAACTTTATAACTAGTAGTTTGTGTAAAAATCCTAGTCAAATCAAATTATCCCTGGGATTCGAGTAGACTAGTATTAGGATAAATAATAGGCTGATATACAACATCTACATATTAAATGTAATATCATTATATGCCTAGTATACTTTTTTACAGTACTACATCTAATTTGTGATCAATTTAATGCCAAAAAGTGGACAGTGAACGCCAGCGTCCTTTATCTCATAACTCTATTTATTTGTTGGTATTTTATTTAACCAGGTAAGTCCTTGAGACCACATTCTCTTTTACAATAACGACCTGACCAAGATGCAACAGTGAAATAACTATCAATTACATTGCAGCTGTCTGTTTAGCCATCCAGTTATTAGTAAAATGAAGGAAAATAAACAGCCTATTTGAGAAAAAAATCTGACTATGATTAGACTGATTTTGTCAAGGTATGTTCACAACATGTCCACAATGGTTATTATTTCAGATATTAGGCTGTCTAATCTAGAGTATTTAATTAAACCACCCGAAGGTTAAAAAAAAGATATATAAATTGTATTAATTAATTTGCTTATCTTTTTCAGGTTCCAGTAAATCCATATTTGCCAAAATAAAAAACAAACTTCTGGATTGTCGATGACAGTCGACCTTACCAGAGCACTCCGTCGCATTCTACTCACCAACACCAACTCCCACCAGCCATCATATGCAGAATAATAGTGATGTGAAGTTCACCAGTTCTTTTTCCATCGAATCCATCCTGAAAAGAGACAGTCCTCCTCGTCTGTGCCCAAGACCTGCTCCTTTATCGGTTGCGTCCAGCGCGCAAACGGATCAACTGCCATTGGGCGCAGAGAGAGGTGTTGGAACCAAGAGGAGGATGAGCTGGGACTCTCCACCTGTGGAGATGCACCTTGTAGGTGACGGTTACCCCAGCTATGCGACGGGGGAGTCACAGCCCAAGGACTCATTGGAGATAATGGAAGACCCATTAAGAAGATGCGCATGTGTGCCGAACCTTCCTACCTGATCTACTCCAGACCCAGCGCTGCTCCTCCATTTGCCGACCCTCCACGTATCTGTTATGTGAAGTACCCTGTGCCTACATATGCTTATGATGATCACCATTTTACATAGTAAAAACATTTTTCACTCCACATTATGCACTTTTAACTTGTTGATATGATTTCAATAAAGTTTACTTGGAAAATAAAATTCTGCCACATCTATTGGTCTCTATATGAAGAAAAATAGAGTCAATGATAAATAGCCTAGGCCTACATCCTATTAAAGAACAAAGGATGAAAATGCAACCTTCTGATCCAGTCATGGGATTACTTGATGGTAATAGCGCTCACTGTTGCCCCTGGTGGCCAGTTTTGACGGCATTTCCCCACATCCTCAGGACATGGATAGACATCCAATTTCGAAGTCATTCTTGATCGATCTGCCTGGATATTTCAGCCTGTTTTGGTGGGATGGAGTTTTGACCAGGCAGTAAATTACTTAACAGACCAATAAGAAAGAGTTCCTATCCTCTCTGCCAATAACATCTAGTTTTCAGTTTTTCCATCCCCACTAAAACCACTTGAGTAATTGATCTTTGCTAAGAACTATTTTTGTTTCCTTTTGACCATTTTAATTGAAAACAATCACAGTAAGGTACTTAATTGTTATCCAGAAATGATTTGATATTGAGATAAAAACAGCTGCATTTGACCTTTGAGAAGTTTAAAACCCCTGCAACAGTGGTAAACTTGCCTGGTAGATGATGGATGTGTATCTTGTCCCCACACACAGTGAGGAAGATGATTCTGGAGGTAAAGAAAAGTCCAAGGGCCACAGTTGGAGAATTGAGAGTATTAACGTTGTAGTTCTGCTCCGCCGGGCTGAGCTTCTTAGTGAAGAAGGCACAGGGGCGGAGCTTGGGTGGCGTGCCCGAGCGTTGGGACAGGACAGCGCCTATCCCTACCTCAGACGCACCCACCTCCACTACGAACGGTAGTGATGGATCGGGGTGGGCCAGTACCGGAGCTGAGGTGAACAGAAGTCGTGACAGCCCATAAGCGCAGACCGAAGGATATCAAGGATCTGGAAAGATTCTGTATGGAAGAAAGGTCTAAGATCCATCCCAATGTGTTCTCCAATCTCATACAACATTATAGAAAAAGGCTCAGTGCCGTTATCCTTGCAAGGGAAGGGTGTATAAAGTATTGAAAACTGGGGTGCCAATCATTTTGGCACTTATCTTTTTGAGAAAAGAAATGATTACTTGTTAAACAAAATCTCTTTCTCTGAGTAATTGTATTACTATAAGGGTTCTTGGCACTGAAAATGTCCCCCAAAAGGTTATTCCAAGAACCCCATAGGAGGTGGGGTTCATCGAGGAACCTCCTTAGTTGGTGGGGGTTCTTGCAGGAACCTAACTGCCCAACTGAAACATTTGGATTAGAATTTGAAAGGACAGCAGGTGAATGCACTTAACTGAAAAAATGTAAAGATCTCCTCAATTTAAGGCAAGGTTTGTCCCTTGTATGATCTAAAATGATATTGTTTTATGATGATACTATCCATCTTTTCATATTTGTGCAAATCTTTATAAAACAGAAAATGGACACAATTCAATGGATATCAATCAACAAAGAGGTAAGAATATGTAGGCTATAAGAATATGTTGAAGGCTAGCTGTATTGGGTGCAGATGACTGAACTGCTCACTTGTGTGTCTGTGTCTGCAGGTATACACACAAGGAGGCATACAATGGTATGTCAATTGGTATTGGTATGTTAAGTAGATCACATTTACCATCCTCCTCCCTTACCTCTCCATCACTCTAAAAAGAAAAGGTTCCTGGAGTATCCTTTAGGGGTTCTTCAAATTGAAACTGTGGGGGAACCCCTATAAGTTCTTCAAAGAACCCTTTAAAAGGGTCCTCAAATAACCTTTTGAAGAACCTTTTGGGGTTAATATTTGAACTACCCACCTCCCCTGTTATTATTTATTATTATTAATAATAATAATAATAATAATAATACGCATAACAATAACAACAATAACACAATCTTTTAGTTCTCAGTGTTTCTTATGATTTTAGCGGCAAAGCAGAATTAAAAATTCCAAATATGAGGTAAAATCCCAGCAGAACTCCCAAAGTCCAATGGGTATATCTTCTGGCGTGTTGAAGTTCTACATATCCATAGCCAGAATGATTTTGCAGTGCATGGTGATCGAACAGGTTTCCTGTTATATTCATCAGAGGTGTAGGGAGGGTGAAGTCTGTGAATCCAAAAAATAGTAATTATACAGATGATTAACAAAACATGCACACGACAGTATTCATACCTTGGTTTTTGTGGTGAATGTGAATGACAAAAACTGTTTCGATAAAGGTTTTCATACACGTACCTTGTCCATAATGTAGAGGCCTATGGGATATTAATTGATGAGGTAAAGAAGGAGGATGGTAAATGTGATCTACTTCACATGCCAATACCAATTGACTTACGTTTGTATGCCTCCTTGTGTGTATACCTGCAGACACAGACACACAAGTGAGCAGTTCAGTCATCTGCACCCAATACAGCTAGCCTTCAACATATTCTTATAGCATACATATTCTTACCTCTTTGTTGATTGATATCCATTGAATTGTGTCCATTTTCTGTTTTAGAAAAATGTGCACAAATATGAAAAGATGGATAGTGTCATCAGAAAACAATATCAATTTAGATCATATAAGGGACAAACCTTACCTTAAATTGAGGAGATCTATTACATTTTTCAGTTAAGTGCCTGCACCTGCTGTCCTTTCAAATTCAAATCCAAATGTTTCAGTTGGGCAGTTAGGTTCCTGCAAGAACCACCACCAACTAAGGAGGTTCCTCAATTAACCCCACCTCCTATGGGGTTCTTGGAAGAACCTTTTGGGTGCAATTTTCAGTGCCAAGAACCCTAAGGTACTTTGAAGATCTTAGAAGAACCATTGTTAAACGCCTAATTTTTAGAGTGTGTGGGACATGTCCTCCTCAGGGTCCTGCCCCGCTGTTTAACACCTTCTCCTGGTATGAAAAGGTCCTATAGGCCTAGTTTACCTGGAATTCATAGCTGTACCTGTAGTAGTACCCTGTGCCTACATATGCTTATGATGATCACCATTTTACATTGTAAAAATCGTTTTTCACTTCACATTGTGCACTTTTAAGTAGTTTTTGTCACATTAAAGATTCTAACAACTTAATAAGCTACTTTTACGCATTCATATGCTCCCATCCCTGACTAAATGGATAACATTTTTATATACATTGTTATTCTATGACCTAGACAATGTCAATGTATGCGTTTATAAATGTATGTTGATACAGTTTGAACCTCTCATTTAAAGAAAAAATAAAAGAAAAACGTGGACATTTGTAGCCAGCTGCTGTTTTTTCTTACACATTGATGTTATATTTCCCAGACATAGAAATCAGATTCGTTCTTTGTCCAAATCTAATTCTCAATAAAAGTAGCATGGTCCTTCTACAGATTAAATTAGGCCTAATCTATAGGCCAAAAATTATTAGATTATGAAAATGATATGATAGTTTGGGTATCTATACAAAAACGAAGTTCAATGTAAGACCTAAGGTTCAATGGCTGCAATATCAAGGAATGGGCAGATTTAAAAACTCTTGATGCATCACCTCATGTCTTGTTGTAGTCATTATGTTTTGTACTCTTTAAGTATTTCTCCTCTCAAAATGGGTTTATTTTCTTCCATTCGACCTAAATAACTGGACATGTTTATCAAATGGATGATTTAAGTTGGTTGGTCTACTATTTTCCACAAACAACGTTTTTTTACAAAGGGCCTAACCTCATTCCAATGATTTTCACCTCACTCATTTCCTCCATTGTCCCAGCTAATGCGTTCTGAATAACAAGGGTTTCTGTGGCATTTGCATCCACTAAATATGTATTAGAGATTCACAGGACTATAACATTGGAATGCTGTAAAGTGCTGCCTCGCCACTCACAGTGGAAGCCTATAATTGCAAAGCAGATAAACAGGGGACTGTTTTATAAATGCTTTTTTCTTGCCTGTGTATAGTTTAGGCAATCCTGCTTTGTATAGCTTTCTCCATCCTAACATTCTATTGAATGTGATTCAACAATTCTTCACTAGATGGAAATGTTGGAGAGGAGATGAACTACTACTGTTCAGCGAAAAGTAACCTAAATTCTAGGTCTATACTGAGATAGGCTGATTGATAGGCCTGCCCTGCAGTTTATTTAACGTGTGCTACTTTAGGTTAATCCTGCAGTGATGTCCAGTCTAGAAATAATTAACGTTATTTATTAATTACATTTTTCACGACTATGAAGATTGTGTTTAGGAAAGTTCTAGGTAATAATAAATAGGCTTACATGGGGCTTGAACGCATCACATTAGTAGGCTATAATAGGCCTGCAGATAAATATGCATTGTCATCTCCAAGTCCTGTGTGTCTGGTCCACAGAATAGGGTTTGTGCAGCCCAGTCCAGTCGGCCATTCGAATTCCCGCTCAAGCGACATCATGCATTCAGAATCTTGCCTGACGCACGTAGCTGGTGGGATGAACGTCAGTGCACATGAACCCAATACTCCGCCTTGGACCTACCGGTAGTTTCAGCCCAGATTTGATCAGCAGGAAAACGACTGGTGAGTAAACTACTAATCACAAACCTACATCAGTAGGCTAATAACTTGTTTAGACACTACTCTATCTGTTGACAGACAGCCTATTGCAGGCCAGACTCAGACTGGTGCATTTAGCTCGAAATATAACATTATGACAATTTACAGCTGCCATCGCCATGCAATGCACGCTTTCTGCTTGCGGCCGTGCGGGGTGTCTTCCTGCTTCTTGGTCAGGGTAGCTTGGCAACATTAGCTATAGACTAGTAAATTATTGGCAAGCAAGTTTGAAATGATAACGATTGATTAGATGGCAACTGAACTTGAGATTTTATAGCCTACCGCACAAGTTCTCAATCACGACTATTCGAATGCGGACAGTCTAGACATGATTCCACATGTTTCTTGTCTTGTTCTGTCCTCTCCTTTGTCGAAGTAGCAACAATGCGATACAATGTATCATTGGAGTGGAAGGATCGT